AAGAACAAAAGTTTTGTACGCCAATAGTTTCGTATCCGGAGCTGCCTGCCGTAATTTGAGTCTCACAACCCATAGTTTTTTAGATACTTTATCTATAACCGCGCTGGATATGTTTATCCCATTTCAAATTGTGTGTTATATGTAGTCCTAAATAAGTATATTCATTAACCCGGATCAGTGCTTGGTTATCTATGTGGTATGTGAAAAGTGAGGGGTGCTTTGTTGATGATACCAGTTTTTGGACGTATTTATATTTATGTTGGAAGGACAAGATTTATAGGAAAGTTACCGTTTATCGAGCAGGTATTAGCACAACTTGCTATCTTTGTACAATACCCCCATTGACGTCATGCCGCGTGTTTCTCATGGCCGCCGCTCGCGGCTGCAGGTCGGGCAATATTCTCATTTTCGCCTTGCTATTACGCGGCGGAATCGCAACATTTCGATGAAACGAGGTGTGTTTTCTGTTCTTTGTGCCAAGGTAAACAACGTCAAAGGTAGAAGATGCCAATTCAACGTTAAAATCGTTGCACAGCTCCTTTAATAGAGCGGGTCATAAAGCTCCTTACACCTTTGGACATGTCGTTGATCATGGCTTTGACGACGTCTTTTTTGTTGGGGCCTCCAACAGAGCTTGCGAGGTCGTCGCGTGTGTAGTACTCAATTGCAACCCTTACGTCTTCGGCATTCGCCTTTTTCCCCATGTAGGGATCAGGGGTTACCCATACATCACATTTGCGCTTCAGTTTTCTTGTTTGATCAATCATATAGGCAGTCGCTTCCGGCACCATGGCGCAATACTTTTTCTTCGAGATGCTTGGTGGCAGAAGCGTGTACAATCGCTTGCTGCATGCCTTCAGCACTTCGCGGAACGGGTCAAACCACTCCGCGCAGTGCTCACAACTGTCTTCGAGTTCGAGAATTTCGTGCGGTGAAGCAAGCAAAGTGGGCCACCTTAAAACCTGTGAGAGGAATCCAGGCTGCATAAGTCATCATATGCCGAGAGGCCGCATGTATACATGGCCACTCGCGCAACTGAGAGTTTTAAGCTTATGTATGCATAGTTAGTGAATTTGAAGAGTGAGGGCGTTTTGTTTCTGTGAATAGTAGCTAATTAATGGTATTCAAGCTCAAAGTCCCTTTCCACGTCACTAATACTCACCCCTTATGGAAAAAAGAATTTTAATAATATAAAATACATGCCATAACTAACGCACAAAATGTTTGGTGCTGTGTGGCAAAGCCACTATGACGAAGACGTCGGCTCGCTCCGAGTGAAAGTTTGTCGTAGCTTTTCCCGTTCAGAGGCCATATATTAATCAATCTTTTGCCATCACAGGTTAGTTCAAGTCACTGAAAAGTGCCAAGAAGAGTTTAAAGAAAATGAAAGATGGAGTTTTTTTTTTGAATATCGACGCCCAATCTTGCCATTTTGAGAAATCAGCCGCATTTCCGCGTTAATAACAAAAAGATAATTACAGGTGGACATATAATCTTTATATATTCGTAAAGAATATTTAAAGACGCGCATTTTGATATGTTTTGTGAAGTATTATGAAAGATGGTTTATTTGCAAAAAAATTGTGAATATGTCTCTAAAACGCGTTTTTATGCCATGTTTGATTTTTTTGTTTGTATAGAAATATTCTATCGATATTTTTCATTTTTTTGTGTATGTGTTGTATATATTGTATAAAACGCAATAAAAAAAAGTTATGGTCACGTGAAAGCTTCGATGAGGAAATGACGACTGTGCAAAGTAGCATTGTGAAATCTCAATTTCCACGCCTCGGGCTTCTCTATTTTATATCTCAGCGAAACAAATTGTTACGGCGCTCATATATAGCTTAATGTTTCTCCCAATAACATGGCTTTATATATATATATATATATATATATATATATATATATATATATATATATATCAAAGATATCGAAATTATGGCCCGGACCATCATTGCATGAACTGACATGGAGTCGCCCTATAGATAGACGCTGGGATGCTCCCCCTTCACTGAATGCCAACGTTCCCCGAAATTCGGGACACTGTACCTGCAGTAAAAAAGCTATTTTAAACATAGTGTGCTCTAGAGCAACGTGTAATCAAAACACTAGAAACACACTCAGTAATTTATACATACCTCCACAACATCCCCCACAGACCACGCATACAATTTATACATACCGCACACGTACACATACAAACAGATGCTCCAGGTTCATACAGACACCCCCCTTTCCCCAGAATTTCGTCATTCAAGTATATACAGAAGCGTACATACTATCAGGGTGCCGAACCGAAATTTTTATCGGTTCGGTTCGGGTTTGGGTTCGCGTCTTTCGGTTCAGTTCCGATTCAGATTCAAGATGGCGAATAACGGTCTCGTTCGGTTTCGGTTCAGAAAAAAAAAAAAAAAAATAGCGGTTCGATTTTGGTTTCCGGTTCGACACTCCGGTCCGGAACCGCGTTTGAACCGGTTACCGTTATTTTATTTATTTTTGTATTTCGGTTCAGTTCCAGTTTGGTTTCAAGATGACGTAGATTTCTAAGGAATAACCTCCTTGTAGATTTCTGCTCAGTTCAGTTCCGGTTCAGCTAAAAATAACAGTTCGGTTCCGGTTTTTTAGTTCGGTTTCGTTTCCGGTTCGACGCCCTGCATACTGCACAACAACAATAAGAGTCATCTGTATGAGGTACATTTACGACATTTACACTCGATGTCAGCGCAAATAAAAGCTCTTAAAGGGGCGCTCCGGAGCTCTCTGAGATGGCCTATTTATGGCCGTAACTCAATCTACGTGCTCTAAGCATCCAAAAAAGTCAACACCTACAATCGTGTGCGGCCTATTTTGCTTACAAACAAGTGATCAAATATAGCGAGTTTCAGACCTACACTGGTGCTACCGAACAAGGTTGAATGTGATGAAAGCACAAACGGCGCCCTTCAGCCAATCGCCGCGATAATGGTTCGCGAAGATTCAGAAAGTGGGAGAGCGAGAAGGCAGGAACAAGGAAAAAAAAAAAAAAAGGGAGAGGGGGGGGGGGGGGGGGGGGTTCCGGCGTACGAGAAAGTCAAAAGGCGACGAGGACAGAAAATTGGGGAGAAAAGCCGACGAAAAAGTGAGGCCGCCCTGTAAGAACTCAAAGACACCCAAAGCTCGCGGAGCTCTCGTCAAGGCTAGAAACTGGTCTAGATATATCGCCTCCCTTTTTCAAGGACACAGTGAAGGCGACGAGGCATTTTGAGTCGCGTGCATTATCGCTTATTCTTCATAACCTCGCGGCTGTAGTGATCTGTTCGAACCGATCAATGGATGCTATTTTTTCGTTGTGTCTGTGAGGAGTTGGAACTTCAAGTTGATTTCGGAATGGCGCCTGTTGACATTAAATTTGAAGCAGGTCAAAACAAAGGCTGTTAGAATGGAAAATCTCAGGGGGGACACTTGCGAGGAGCGCGCGCCCCCCCCCCCCCCCCCCCCAGTCTATACACAAGGGGGTATTGCTCCGAAGGTGTGGCTCCGATGCAGGCATTCACACACCTCCTTTGTTCCTCGGTCAGATGTGAACCAATCAGGGAAAAGCGCTGTGCAATGTTACCAAGGAGGGAAGGCATAGCATGATGCTACTCACCAAGTTCCGCAAATGACGCATTTACAGTGGGTATTTCCTGATCTGGGGGGGGGGGGGGGGGGTCAGCATATCTTATGTTTGAACTCCCCCCTCCCCCCCCCCCCTTAAATGTTTACATATGCAAGAATTCAAGAGGGGGGGTCAGGACATCTGGAGCGCCCCTCTAAATGCGCCACAGACTGTGGTCCAGGGGTTAGTAAAATACGGCCCTTCTTAACCAGGACCTTCCAGTTGGGGTACAGCTCTGTGAGACTTTGCCATGAATCTCTTGCAACACTGCGAATTCCAAAGTATGGCTGGAATGGCACTCTCTTGGACATGCCAACAGTCTGACAACTAGACCATTCAAAGGCTGGTCCGCCATTTTGCTTTATCAACGACCCTTCATAACAGAAAACGGGGCTGCCTTTTGTATTATCGTGAACGCGTCTAAATCTGGGGGAGCACATTGCAGCCGACAGGGGACATTTTTTAATAAAAGAAAGGACATACATGATACACCAGCTTTTTCTAGTTCTTGATGAAATGCAAATTACCTTCATCCCTGACAATAAATGTCCATGATGTTACATCCCTTTGCAACTCCCCCACCCAATCAAACAGACCGGCTCGCAGTTTGCGCAGAATCGGAGCGCAGTTGCAGGTAGTTTTGCTCACGACCTCAGGTCGTAGATTTATCAGCTCCCCTATCAGTGTTTGCAGAAAGCAAACAGTCCAAGGGAAATGTCACACCTTGCGGTGCACATTCCATCTCACATAAAAAAATAATAATAAAGAGAAGCAAACTATAGATAGCATGGCACCTCACTGCACAGAAGTGCATTTGACAGGCCTAATACAACAAAAAGGAAAGAAAAAATATGCAGGGTTTTGAAAATGCACTCATCAAAATCTTTAAAATTTCAATAATCCTGATGTTGTACTTACAAAGAAAAAAAAAAATGAGGGCATTAGACAAATAGGTCTGTCAACAGACATTACAGGGAAGCCTGTAAATGTCAGCCACTGTTCCTACTTGTTTAATGCCTTCATTTTTTTACTAAGAGCCTCATTCTACTGGGCTACTCTATAAGTGCACCTTTATGATACAAGGGTTGGTGGGTGGACTCCGTAAAATTGGCAACATAACACGAAGCAAACAGAAACTATAACCGTAAAGCAGTCCATACACTTTTACTATATATAAGTGAAAGGAGTTTCAAGGGAGAGGATACTAGTAGTTTACCTGGCAATATTTAATTACCTATAAAAACTATGCTCATCTACTTGCAACACCAGCCCATTTTCATATATAGCTTCTGAATTTAGGGAACAATAATCCTTGGTTATCAAAAATAATGCATTGTAAGTGAAAGGCAACAATGTGGAATAAGCAGTGTAGGCATAATTTATTATGAATAGGAACATGGTACGAAATCAAACAAATAAACAAAAGGTGAGGTAAATGAGAACAGGGGTGTTAAGGCACAAAATAAATGCAACATTGAGCACCAACTGCAAGCAGATGTGACATCGCTTATTCAAAACACATAAGATCTAAAAGGGTTTTCTTTAGACTCTGCAATGCACCCTGCTGTAACATGCCACATGTGAAACCGACTAGACTTTCTAAAAGGTGTAACAGGTACTATCAAAGACAGCAGAGATTACAAGCAACCTGAGATCATAATCTACCTCATAGTCTCGAACTGCTTAACACTATGTGCACAAATCCTATAAAGCATTCGGTAATAATGTTGCTGTAAAGAGAAAAAAAAAAAAAAAAAAAAAAATTAAGTTCATCACAAACAATGATGCACTCCCAGGTTTCGGGATGCAAACAAATTAGGTCCCTGTAGCTAATGCCACGGCACCACTGAACCCCAGTGCAATATCTCCTTTGCAGCCAACTGACTGGGTGGTCTGTACAAAAGTATGTCTCAACAAAAATACTGCGATATTTAAGTAAATCTACCTGCACAACCTTATGCTGAAGCTCTTGCTTAACGAAACTCCTAAAGTGCACGCACATTCTTGTGCTAAAATCCGCTGCGATCATGCAAGAATGAGGCAGTAGCTACCTCTGGCTTAATGGCAAGTTCAGGAAGCATTACGACTACACTCACAACTCTTCGCACCACAAACGAGAGCCCTGTGCACCAGGCCCCAGGAAGGGGGCCAGCGAGCAATACGCTCTGTACAAACAAGGAGCTCGGCCGCTGGCTGCCCCCCCTGGTCGAACCTCGGGTGGGCGCCTACATGGAGGCGCTGGCCATCCTGTAGAGGCGGCAGAAGGTGCCCCTCTGCCGAGACTCATCCTGAAGCAACTGGACACGAACCCACTGGCGCGATTGTGACGAGTGGCGCACGGCCTCCATGACCGCCTGGACGTAGAGGCCGTCTTCGAAGCTCGCTGCGCTGTCGGCAGGCACCTTGGCCCACGACTGGGCCACGCTGCGGGTGGCAAAGGCATCCCTGAGCGCCGCCACCATCTTGGCCAGGCCCTTGACGTGCGGCTTGGGCACCACGCAGTCGGGGGCCTGCTTCAGATCCTCGACGTCCAGGTAGAGCACCTCTTCCTTGGCCGCTGCCTTGTGGCCGTGCAGGTCGCCGCTGCGGACCACCAGGTTGCCCTTGGTGCCACACACGAGCAGCTCCTGGCTGAACTGGCCTGCGCAGTGGCTGTTCAACGTTACAGTGGCCAGGGCACCGTTGCTCAGCTCCATCTGGAAGCTGCAGAAGTCGTCGCTGCTCACCTGCCGGATCCCGCACACGGCGTCGGTGGTCTTGGCGAACGTCCGCGCCAGGCCATGAACGCGCACCGCGCGCAGACCAGTCACGAAGGACGCGATGTCGATCACGTGACTGCCAAAAGTGGACAGGATGCCCCCTCCCATCGTGTCCTCGCACGTCCAGTCGTAGCGGTCGTGGATGAGGGAGCCGCACTGGACGCGCGCTTCGATTATCTGTACGCAGCCCACGTAGCCGTCCTGGATGTGCCGCTTCATGTGCACGTAGGCCGGCAGGAAGCGGAGGCTGTGGCACAGCACCGAGATGAGCGTCGGGTAGTACTGGGCCGCTCGCACCATCTTCAGCACCTCGGTCTGCGTCAGTCCGGCCGGACGGTCGCACAGCACGTGCTTGCCGATGCCCAGCGCCTTGACGGCAATCCGGGCGTGCTGGTGCGGAGAACACATGATGCACACGAAGTCTACGGTCTTCCTGAGGAGGACTTCGTCCTCTTTGTTAGTGTAGAAGGGGATCCCCAGCTCTTGAGCGATTTCCTTGGCGTTATCGGCGGTACGGCCCCAGATGGCTTCAACCTTAAAGCCACGAGCGCGCAGGCACGGCACAAGCACCCGCACGGATTTACCCGTGCCGAACACTCCGACCCCCGGCAGCATTGTACGCCCGGACGGGTATTCCCGCTTCTCTTCAACGATTTCGAACGTTTAGTTCATCTCAGAAAGGACAGGAGCCCACGAACAGAAAAGAATGGACTTAATATGAGTCAGTGTTCCAAATGTTTCGTTCATTCCGCCCGTGATTTCGCCAACTGTTACTCGGCTCCCACTTATCGCGCAGCACAAAACGACGAAACGACAGTTGCACTCGGACGGCGTTTTTCGCGCAGTTTGATTTCTATGACTCGATTATTTGATGATAACTTCTGCGAATGGGAAACGTTCCAGGAAACAGGAGAAAGATATCGAAGCTAGACTGTAGAAGGTTGGAGTTTATGAGGCAAATTTTGTACGCACTTTCTCGTCATCTCTCATCTCTACGAGCCGCCGCCGCCGCTTACGTCCGCGTCGCCTTTTTCGCACTCTTTTTGGCTACTTTTTGTACATTTTAGTGTTTTTAGCGTTGGTTTTTAGTGAAAACAGGCTTGGTCAAGAGACGTGTACTTGAGCTCTGGTTATTATTACACACACACACAAAATAATATTTTGCACTCAATATTTCAGCTCTTTAAAATGTAAAGTATAATCTAATATTCTAAACTCTTTGCTAGAAATCTCTGGCACAGTCAGTTTTGTCTTATTGGCTCATTGACCGCCAGGGGCGCTAAGGCTGGAGCGTTTATAGGTTTAGAGACAACACAATCCAATCCAAGTCGCCATTCTCGGTCTTGTTCACGGATCGGTAGTCTCGTTGGTCTCGTTCTTAGTCATCGTTCGTTGCCATCGTCGCTTTTTGCTCTGTCTTTCGTAGTCTAGTGCTACAGTGTACTAATTAGTACACTGTAGAGGCATTATCATCAACCAATCAACGTAAGGTTTCTTTCCCCTTGCATTGTGGGTTTAGAGGTATGTGGGTCGCCATGTCTCTTGTTCACCGTGAAAATGGGCCGACAAGCGTGAAGTCAGATTAGAGGCACTAAATGTATTGTTTTTGTCATTTGTTTGTCAGGATCATGAAACACCCCAACAGCACTAATCACATGATCACAAATGGTGAAGAGTCTGATTGCGTGAGAGTTGCGAAACGTCCACGAACTGGCGACATGGACCAGCCTCTTAGTGTAAGTTTTCAAATTTCCCTCACTGCTGTTTATGTTCTAGCAGTCTCTTTGTAAACGTGCATTTCGTCGTTCGATGTTTCAGTGTCACCTTGAAGCGAATGGAGGGGGTACCTGTAATTCTTAGAAGTTGTTGCTTACCGAAGTCCATTAATTAGCACAAGGAATGGCCCAGCACCTGGTCGGAGCAATGCGCCCTCAAATCATCGATTTCATTATTCGACCTGTCTGTTTTTTTTTTCTCTCTTCATACGCTGCAGACTGGTACCAGTCTTTGTTTCTTTTAATTGCTGAATCTACTCGCTTTTCAATATTCGGTACTGCGCTGTTCATAGCACATGGTCACAGAACGAGCTCGCACTCCATTTTACTAGGGCTGGGCGTCGATTAAAATTTTTAACCCGATTAATCGCCACCATTTAATCGATCAATTAATCGGTGTTGGTAATTTTCAAGCATAATCTTTGAAAACGGCCAAAAATGACTAATGTTTTTGTGTGTGTGTTTTATATTGCTTTTGCTGAACATGGAGCTCAAGAGCGCGATGCATATACAATTTTAATATTGAATCAACCTCGATGTGTGATTCAAAAGATGTTCAAAGGCACTCACACTCGCAGATTATTACTTCAGCTGCATGAGGAAAAGAGGTTCGTTGATATTCTCCGCAAGAGCGACCTGCTCTGAATATTTGCAATAGTCTCTGCTGCGCTAAACGGAGACTTGAACGCCGTTGGAGTGGCCGGGACACATGCAACCTTCTGCACTTCTCAGGAGTTCCAGATATTGCCCCTATATTTTACTTTAGGCTAAAATTTAACTTAAAGTTTGCCCTTCATACAGGTGCATTCGTCCACTTCTGCATAGCGAAGTCGTGTAATATTATTTTTTTTGTGTGTCAAAGTTTTACTGATTAACCGGTGAAAAGAAAATAGTCGGGATTAAAGCATTAATCGGTAGGTTAATCAATCAATTGCCCAGCCCTACATTTTACTTTCAAAAAAGAAAGAGTAAAGCCATACGCACTCCGGAGTGCACTTCGGACGGAAATGGCTATACGCACTCCGCGGAGAGCTCATGCCGCTCGAGCCACCCTTTTCGAACGGCGCGTGTATTACTGGGGAGCTTGTTAACACTTCCCCGCTAAATTTAGCGGGGAGATTTACCCATAATGCACCACGCGGTTACGCCGACGGTGACACCGCTTAAGCCGGAAACGGGCGCCTAAGAGGTGCGCTCCAAAAATTTTCGGGCCAAGAAAGAAGGAATAATGTGCGAGAGAAATACAAAATATGCCGGACCGCCAAGTTTACACTGCTACTCAATAGATGGCGCCAGTGTGTCCTCTCGTCATAAGAGATATTAAGAGGTCCGAAGGCTTTCAGTTTTAAGAGGTTGCAAGTGTGTGAACGAGCCTGTACGTCCGTTGCAGCATTGTTAGTTGGTTAAAATCGCGACTCATTGGTACCTCCAGGTACAGATGCCCGTCGCAATATTTTCTTTTTCTTTCTCGTATTTTCCCTCTCTTTAGGGCAATTTTTTTTCTCCTTTAAGACGATTTCTTGCAACGTTTTCTGAGAATGGCGGACATTCGAAGCAATTATTAAGAGAGATGGAATGGTAATGTGATACAAACCCGCTGTTTACAGCAGCAGGGTTTCCGGCAGACTTGTTGAAAACTGGCACAACCTTCACATACCACTCAAGTCTCCACGCGCACTAGCTTTGGCAGTGTTTGCTTCCAGAGTGTCTTAAATAAAGAGCTGTTTCGAGGGGGCTGCCAGGGTGTATAAATGACAATAGACCCTCGGCCTTTAGCCAAATCAACTTTGCTCTCAGCCTGAGCCAGTAAGGGCTACAAGCAGGTGTAACAAACACGGCAAAGATAGCAAGAAGTGTTTTCATATTAAAAAAAAAAAAAAAAAATGCAATAAATTGTTTTAAAGGAGGGGAAAGAAAAGAAAGAAAAAGATGTATTTGACGGGCATCGAACCCACCCAGCTTCAGCAGCCTGGATGTGCGAGGAACACACTCCAGCCCTTTCAACAAAGCTGAAGGTACGGATAAAGTTGAGTTTTTAACCAATTCACGAATGCTGCATCGGACGTAACACAGTAATAATTCACAATATTTTTGCATTTACGTCATGTATGAGCCGTAAAGCGAAATATACGCATAGGTTGTGTAGGTTACACAGGACGTAACTTTAACTTTTATTTCGGGTTCCGCCGGACGTAACTTTACTCTATTTCGAGTTTGGTTGGACTTAACTTTAATTTTCATATTCGGTTACGTCGGACAGAACATTAATTTTCATACTAGGTTACGTCGGAAGTAACTCAAAACCTTGGGGTAAAGTTACGTTGGAAGTCACTTTAATTTTTATTTCGGGTTCCGTCGGACGTATTGCTAGACAGTGCATACAATGTTGTACAAAGTCTATGTAGTTCTTACAACCATATTTTGTATAAACTACTTCATGCAGTGTGTGACATGTTCACCGAACTTTCTTTTATTTGTGGTGACGCATGAGCATAGTGCATCTTTTGAGCTCTGCTTAGGGTGCCTCAATGTCCTTCTCTTTAGGGTGATGCTATTTTATGTAGTACCTGATACCAGCGGCATGAGCTCACAGGGAAAATGCAAAGAAATAGCCGGTAGCAAAATGCCACCATAGCCTAGAGCTTGTACTGGGCTGCAGAACAAAAAAGAAAAAGAAATGTTGAGAAAAAAAATTGTCAGATGTCACCGCTCTAAGCAGAACGCACATGAAGGCACCCAGGCCTGCAAGTTTGGCTCAAACCCAGATTGAGAATAGTTGGTCGCACGCAGGGGCGGATACAGGTGTTACCAAGGGAGGGGGGGTCAGCATATCAGATGTTTAAGAAGCCCCCCACCCCCCACCACACCCCTTTCATTGCCTTAAGATTTTGCACATTCGGAATTCAAGAGAGGGAGTCAGGACATCCAGACCCCCCCGCTCCCCCCCCCCCCCCCCCCCCCTCTCTGAATTCGCCACTGGTCTCATACTGTATTCATACAGAAGAGAAGTCATGGTAATTGAGACAGCTGTAGGTCATTCAAATAAAGACATATCTAGAAAAGGAGATAACAGGCAATTGCTCCACAAATTCTTGAGAAGTGTCTTCCGAAAACATAAATGTATGAATCATTTCCTTTTTTTTTTTTTTTTTTTTTTTTTCAGGTTTTGTTAGAGTCTTTTAAGGAGACAATATTTTCCCGGCTCGAAACATTAGAGAGTAGGATAGATGCCTTAAATGAGCAATGCCAAACTCTGGAAGACAAGATTGATATACTCTCGACAGCAGTGAAAGAAAATGTGTCGACAGTTCCTTCTAGTATTGCAAGGTACGTCCATCTTCCAAGGTAAATAGAGTGGCTTCCACTTTACAGTTTTTTAGCGCTATCGTAAAAAAAACCTGTTGACCTACAAAAAGTATTAAAATGCAGTTTGTTTTTCTTGCAGCTCTGCAGGTACAGAACTCTATCCTTATGAACTTTGTCTTGCATATAAAATGCCTGCGTATTTGCATAACTGAAATTCCTGTGTAGGCTCTCCAACGATTGTCTCTTTGGATGAAGAACCAGGGACCACTTTTGCAGCAGGATCGAGTGTAACATTGATCACCCTGAACACTGAAGGTAATGACTTCAATCAATCAACAGCATGCTCCTGGAATTGTTTAAAATGAGTTTGGGCAAGTCTAATGAATGTGCCTCTATTTATACCTATCCATGAGAGCTACTTGCAGAAACCATGCCTCTGAGGAAAATGTGTGCAAGTCGACTTCATTGGTGAAGGTTTGTTGTGGCTGTGCACAGGGTAGCTTCTTGGTGGAAATTCAAATGCAAATTTGCAAGCAGAATTTGTTGATATTCTCAGCTGAAGGCTCTTGCTCAGTATTTCGTTGCACTGATCCACGGCAAGAGTGATGACTTTCAGGGCACAAAGTGCAGGTACTTAAAGCTGCTTTAGTTTATATGGGAATACTATTTTAAACCACTTGCAGCTTTATGTATAGGCTTCAGATTCTGAAAAAAAAGTGTTTTGCCAGTGATAGTAGCCAAAGTAGTACATTCGCTTACACTTGACAGCCAATATTTGTGCTAGTTGACGTTAGACATGCAGGTACACATTTTAGGGATGACTGCTTTGTATTTCGTTTAAAGAGAAACTGAAACAGTTCTGTATTTCAGAAGAAAAAAAAACAAAACAAACAAACATATAAATTGTCTTTATTTGGCCTCCAGAATCATGAATATCAAAATTATATTTTTGACTGATGCACCAAGTAGCCTCAACAGTGCTTTCAATATAGTGCTGAAGCCCCTCCTTCCCATTGTGTTCAGTGGGAGGAGGGAATTGTGACATATTATACCGAGATCTCAACATTTCCACTCCTTCTGCATGCCTTACCTGGGCAGTCCCCAGACTGCCGTCCCCAGACTGTTCAAGACGAGTGTAGCTCGTCTGCTTTCTCCGGTTCACAAGCTCAACCGTTTGGGATCAACCAGGCTCGCTCATGGCTTAGTTTGCAGCTCTGCCAACAGATAGCAGCACGGAATTTTTTAAAAATTTTGCTCACATTCTGTTTGTGGCAGAAACATAATTTTGAATGCAACAAATGTAGTTTTGAAGAGAGCAGTTCAGCAGTTGAGGGTCAGAAATTCCCTCAAAACTTTAAACGGTTAAGGGGTTTATGTATAACATGCACATACACCCAACCCAGTATTTGTCTAGTGTAAAGTGTGTTTGGCGAAGCTTCGACTTAAATCTTGAAAAATACAACATTCAGGTATGTAGCCCCATTCGTGTACAAGACTGGCTTCATCTGGGGAAGTTACATCTGCTGTTGATTGATTTAGTAACTTTGCTAATGTTTAGTAAATTCCATGTTATCTATAATTGTAAAAAAGTATAGAGAACTTTACCTGTTGCTGCTTGCCCTGAATGAATGTTCATTCATTTTATGGTTTAATAGATTTCCAATAGAGCAGGAGTGAGACTCGGCAAGTAGGACCACAAAGTTTTTAACTGTCTTGAACTGAGGAGCCGAAGACCAAGCACACATTTGAGCTGGTACCACACATACCACCTATGGTGCACGAGCACTCTGTTGTCTTCTGACCTCTATTTGAATGCTGCTGGTAATTAGTACGGTTGTGGGTGGTACCCTAGATGTGAAAGCAGGAAGTTTTTAGCAGACAATCTGTGAGGTGGCAGTCTGTAAGGCACTGAAACCATCCCTAATTTGGTCACGAGTTCAGAACCTTGGTGTTGTGCTTGCTAAGGACAATCATATGCTCCTAGGAAGTGAGCGGAATATAGCTGAGCTGCTCGGTGAGGGCGGCCCCCATCCAAGCCTTGTGAATTACGACTTGCGCATCCGAGGAAGTCCCTAGAAGCACGATTGATGCTGAGAGCTCTGAGCACTGCATTGTACCGCAGAACTAGCAGCTCCTACCTTGGTGCCGTTCCTGCCTGTGCAGGGCCCTTTCGGCCTCGGGGTTCAGTCGTGGTTGGCGATGTTTGGTGAGGCGAAGTGCAGTGAAGCGCAATGACGTCCTCAGAGTGGTTGGAAAGATCTCGCTCACCAGGACGTGCTCACGCACGTCGCCTCTGTCCCAAAGTGGCCCAGCAGCCCGGCTCGGAGCCTAAAGCACTTGGGTTTTAATGTTTCTTGCGTCTCATAACTTCTTGCACGGCATTGAAGACAGCGGGCACAATCTTTACACACGTCGAAACAGTCGAAAGGGCCTCCACGTGCAAAGCACTGGAAAACGTGGTGCGGCTGGTGCTGGAAACACAGCTTTAAGGGGGGACACTACCCAGAAAAGTCAACTTCTGTACCGCTTGCTTGGTTTAAAAAAATATTTGCAGTGGAAGTTTATATGAGTGGCAAGACCATCCCTGCCAAATTTCATTGTCCTCTGTCAGTTCTGAAACTTGTTACGAATGTTACAATATGAGTCAATGTGTTCACCTAGAAAAAAAATAAATAAAAGATTGTGAATTTTATGTGTAATATTGTCATAATAATCCCCATAGCACATACCCAGCTAGTTATATCGCTAAATTGCATTGTTTTTCATAAGTATAACTCTATAAGAAGATTGCAAATTTTTTTTTCATATCTGCAGTTTTTTTTATAAAGGTAGTTTTTGTTTTAGCATAAAAGGATGTTAAAGTAGAAGAAGCTAACCAGTCAGGCATGTTCCTCACAAAATTCCATCCTAGAAAACCACCCAAGATTAAATTTTTATTGTGTAATAGGAAAACGATAGTTTTCTTAAAATTTATGCCGAAAAGTGGAACGAAGAAAAGTGCATTCAAAGTGCTCCAAACTCTACCTTTTTTTTTAGCATCGGTGGACCGAATATAATTTATAAAAAAATTAACTATGCAGTGTAAACTAATGAAACTTTCTGGGAATACTCTCTAGACATTGGTTGATGTAAATATGGCATATTTCAAAATCAACTTTTTTTGCAGAAATTGTTTTTTCTGGGTAAAACCTGAAAGTTAAGAAGGGACCCCTTAACTTTGAGGTTTTACAAGGCGTGGCGCCACCTTTGCGTAGGACTTGATGCAGATCAGTGGAAACATTGACGCATCGGCTTCATTCGAAGGACGATTGGAGTCAATGCACTGAAGTCGCATTCATGTAAACACTGCTTTTTACTTCCAGAAAGGGACTGTAGTAAAAGTTGTGCTTATCCAGTGTATTTGCTTGGCCTGATGTAAGTGCACGTCTTCTTGCACATGGAATGAGAATTGTGCCTTTTCTGTGCCATTCTGTTCATAGCTAATTATTTCTGCACACATAGATATACCCTGGCTGGTGTCACAGGATGGTTTTATCGGTACAAAGAATGTCCCGTGTGCTCGACTGAAGCATAATTAACAGTCCCATCTGTTTGCTGGGGCAACAAAAAACAGCAACCCTCTAGCGGCATTGGTTGGGACACTGCTTGCTTCTCCTATAGACCTTTTTCGCAAGGGTGCCGCCATCTTGAATTGTCGTCACTTCCAATATGGGCGAAAACATTGTTTTGCCGTCGCCACGCCAATAGAAGGCATTTAGGACATAAACGTAACCGTCACACATTCTTGTTTTGCCTCCCCTTTATTTTTTACTATTTGCAGGTTAAAACATTGTGATATTTTTTCGTCCCCCCCTGCCCCCCTAATTGCAAGGTTTTATTAAAAAAAAAAAAGAGAGAATGGGCAGTGTTTTGTGTATTGTTTGATGCCAAAGGTAGCCTTGTTGAGTTTCATGTTTTGATGTAGGGTCTTTCCTCTACAGCCGATTTTCCTCATGGGTCTTGGCTTGGAGATGAGAACAACCCCGAGGTGCGGGTGCGTTGCCCCATCAGTCCGACCACACTCTTCCACATTAACACGACATGCACCACTCCTGAGAAGATGGCACTGACATTGCTGGACCACCTGTTTGACCGGGAGACACAGGCGTGCTCCAACATCTCCGGCTCAGGAAAACACAAGAAACAGCGACTGGACCCTCTGATGATCTATGGCATCAGATGTAAGCAGCCATTTGCTGTGTAATGAATGCATTGCACTGCTGGCCCAGATGAACCATTACTGCTTTCTCACATTTTTCTTGCACGGTTACTACAGTTGCAGGGGTGGAATGGCTGCGCCATTTGCGCCATTTTGCGCCAGACGCATTTGTCTGCGCCATCCTGCGCCATTTTGCGGAAACTGCGCCACTGCCAATAGCTTGCGCCATTATGCGCCAAATCGCACAACGTGCGCCCAAAAAAATTTTATTTTGTCTTGGTTTCGGTTTCTATCGACTCGACTGGCAACAATGAGCACGTTTAGCTTGGTCGGCCCTGCAATCCTTTGTTCTGTTTATTCTCCCTATGTATCTCGAGTCGGAAGCGCGCCTAAAAACTCGGGGATCGGATTCCAAGCGCTACACCACCTGCATGCGACTGGATTGTTATTCTTCAACCATCAGTGATTAAGCAAGTCGGCCAAGGTGAGGTCGAGTCGTTAAGCGTCAGATTGCCTGAGGCTCTGCGGCCCGGGATCCAGAAGTCAACCAGTGGAAAAAAAAAATGAGCAAAAGATTCCGTTTACTACTTAATCGTTATAAGTTGGAACCGCATTCCCGCAAGATAAATTGTGATTTGATAGAACTGGAAACGCTGTCCGATCCGAAATTTTGCCGTCCAGCGAGCGGTAGATCTGCTCGGCGTACTTTAACCTTGCTCTTGTTAATCGCTTTGAATACACTAACTCTGTTAATCGTAGTCTGCTGCTTCGATATTGAGTTGCACAATAGGATAAACTCGAAATTTGTTGCCCTGTTCCTCCACGCAGCTGCACGTCCGTTGGTTATGCACGTCACGTGGTTCGTACATATAATTACTATGTCGAGCACGTGAGTTGTGCGATAAGCAGTGCTGGTTTGCATCTTGAGCAGCTCAAAGCCACTCAGAAAATATCAAGTACATTATCTTCAGAAACGTATGGTACTTGCGTTTTGGCTCTCATTAAGGCTCACAAAGTTCCAAGTTTTCGCATCTGTTACACTGTTATGTGTTATCCCATCTACCTAGGTTCCTAACCTCTCATGTTCATCTGTGCTGCTAAGCACTATTGAAATTGCTCCCGTGCTCGTCTAAGACACAAGCTGAAGTGCAATGAAAACTGATCTGAGCTGCTCCTAGCCTGCTCCAGAATGTAGTTTTAGCTGCTCCCAACCTGCTCCAAAACAGCGGTTTCAGCTGCTCCCGTGACTGCTCCCAAATACATTTGATGAGTTCCACCCCTGAGTTGTTAATTTGGTAGAATGCACAATTTGGACAGTACCGTCATGTCTCATTCATATAGACCTGTTACGAACTGTAGTATGGACGAAATTTTCGGCGGCCAATCTTTCGCCATCCAATTTTGTCCCGTTGATCTGAAAGCCCACAATCTGGACTATGGACAGCTATTTTGGGGAGGAATTGGGTGAATACAGACATTTTTGTCTCATTATTATAGATGCCATTACCCCAGTTTAAAAAATGAAAGGGTCCAAAAATTCCCCCGAGATATTGGGGAACCCAAGAGGTCACACTGTGCACCCGGACGTTTTTTGCGGGTCTTGCGATAACAGCTGTTCACCAAACAATATTTTTGGGGGGTCACGTGACACCCCCCCCCCCCCCCCCCCCCGCCGAGAACACGTGACCCTCAGTACCTTTCCCTCCTCCTCCTCAAGAGCTGCGCACTAATTCGGCGTTACAGGAAGTTGTAAATGGCTTTCATTTTTTATGTTACAGATATTTAGCCAGAAAAACGAGATGGTCAATCTCTTGGGGCTGGCATTCTTTCGGAACTTTACAGTAGTCTCGTTTCTTTCCCATTTGTGCAGACGTGTTTCTCTGCTGCATCATAGTTTTTGATTATATAAGCTCTATAAGATCTGCTTATTTCTGTAAATGCGACTGGTTTGGAAAGTGCTCCAAACTCTGTTGTGGTTTGCATTCTGTGAAAACGCTGACCTCTGAGGAGATGAAAGTTAAGCAATTTTTCCTTGTAAGATTTACTTATTTATTTTTTTCCGAATTGCGTAGGTTTTTTTTTTTTTTTCTTCACATATTGGCAGCTCTTTTGAATCACATCAATTTCTACTTTCTACATCTTTGAAACCCGAGTCTGAGGAACAGAAAAAGGAGACTACACATGTCTTCCCCTTTTTTGTTCTTTGGTCTCGGGCTTCCAAGGTGTAGGAAGTTCACCAGTTCGCCTGTATCTTCCCTGTTATTTTATACTTTCTTATTGCAAGGTGGCAAATTCCATGCCAACTTGCTAAGAGATATGATGAGAATCTTTAAAGACAATGCATTGGGATTTTTTTTTGATAGTGACATTTTTGATAAACCATCACAATTTATTTTTTGTGTTTCATCATTGCGCGTCTGTCTCGGTCGTCATCGAAGTGTTTGCATACATTACGCGAGCAGCTTCTTGCATTCAGTTGTACTTAATACAGCGGGTGGGACACCCTTCGAGTGGGCCATTTTATGTTGCCCACGTGACTAGATTAGTTGCCATCAATTTTATTTAATTCGACATACTATTAGTCCAAGTTAAGACTTCAATGGGAGTGGTAGTGACAAGCACACTTTGAAAAGCAAGGAAAAATAAAAACAGCAATCGAAGCACATGCAAATTGCTGGTACACGAAATACAAACAATATAAACAAGAAGCGGCATCAGAAAAAGCCGCACGCTCATGTGTTCTAGAAAAGTGATTATGACTGTACCATGTTTGCATCACCTTTGGATCTCAACTACCGTGTCTGCTTGAGAAAAAGTACAACGTAGACTCTAACCAATTTCTTCAATGTGCCCGACGTTTCGAAGCCAGCTCGGCTCCTTGTTCACGGGTGACTGTATATGGGCCCAAGGGTAGCAACCTGTCGTCGTTTTCTTCTCTTCTCTCTTAGCTTTGTTTTCTTCTTCTGTTCCTGTGTGTGGCGCATTTTAGCCCGTGTATATAGCTGCTTGGAAGCGTTCCGGTGGATCGGTTCAGGTTGTTGCTTGTATTTTGTATGTGCCAAGATTCTATTAAGAGCCGCTTTCTCCAGTTTCTTTCTGTGTCGAGGATGGAGCTGCTGTCAAAGCCAATGGCGTGGCCGGTCTTCTGAGCATGTTCCGCCAGCGCGCTGCCTTGGATGTCATTCTTCTTAACATCATACTTATGTCTACGCAGACGTTCCCGAACGTCTGCGTAGGCATAATTATGATGTTAAGAAGAATGACATCCAAGGCAGCGCGCTGGCGGAACATGCTCAGAAGACCGGCCACGCCATTGGCTTTGACAGCAGCTCCATCCTCGACACAGAAAGAAACTGGAGAAAGCGGCTCTTAATAGAATCTTGGCACATACAAAATACAAGCAACAACCTGAACCGATCCACCGGAACGCTTCCAAGCAGCTATATACACGGGCTAAAATGTGCCACACACAGGAACAGAAGAAGAAAACAAAGCTAAGAGAGAAGAGAAGAAAACGACGACAGGTTGCTACCCTTGGGCCCATATACAGTCACCCGTGAACAAGGAGCCGAGCTGGCTTCGAAACGTCGGGCACATTGAAGAAATTGGTTAGAGTGTACGTTGTACTTTTTCTTAATACTTACCTAACCAGGCGGAGTTCCGCCGAAATCTTTACATTTATGTCTGCTTGAGTAACAGCCGCACTTATGAACAAGGCCCTTATGTCTACTTTTCTGCAGAACATACAGCCAATCATTGCATTCTGCATAAAAAGCACAGCGAATTACAAGGTTGAGAATGCGATCCTCCGTAATAGTGCTATCTGAGCACATAGCATTTTTGCTTGAAGACATTATCTCTTTCCCGTAAATTCACTGCCATTTTTCTGCTGACCGCGGTGATTTGCTATCCCTGGTGCTCCGCAGGAAAGCGGACCCAAAGGCTTTGTTCATAAACAGCGCGGCTGTTACTCGAGCACATATGCTATGCTATTCTCATTCCAGAAGTCCTTTTAAACTTCAGCTGCTTTGTACTTGATTGCTTGAATAACAAGATGTTATTTGTATACCATAACCCAACTAGTCCATGTGGTTCACACTACAAATATTTCCTGGATATAACAAACATAATTGCTTAATTTTATTTGTTTTGTTTTCTATTGATCACCTAGTACAAGGTTTCGTGTCTGTCAATTCTTATCACTCTAAAAATCACATGTGAGGAATTAGAATATCTTAGTAACTCTTCAGCCTTCTGACTTGAGGAGGTGCAAATATATTTGCCCATTTTACTTCATTATATATTGGTACTGTTTTTGATAACTCTTCAGCCTTCTGACTTGAGGATGTGCAAATATATTTGGCCATTTTACTTCATTATATATTGGTACTGTTTTGGATCTACATCCCAATGATTTTGGACACTGTTCAGGCATTAAGAAATAATAATTATGGAAGCAGATTTGAATAGTATGTTCAAATTTTCAACCACAATATCACCCTCAGCAGAAAAACAAGTGTACTATAGAATACTGTGCATCCGACCATTCCACACTAAGCGCCCATTCCCAAATTTGTAAGATCTGAAAAATATGCACAGCACATTGATATGAAAAATTGATGACCGGAAAAGTGCCAATCCCCCATTTTTTCGTGATTATCTCTAAGTCTTGAGTGGGTGCTTGCCCGGTATTTTACGGTAAATGAGCTGCCTGTTTGTGCAGATGAGTGAGCACTTTTCTTACTGACGTAGGTGAGGCAGTGTTACCATGCTTTTAAATGCACACATGAGGGCCTGTTTTGTTTTTCTGTCTCCAGGTCACTTAACTCACTTGTTTGAGGTTACAAATGCTGACTGGGACCGGATCAAGCTGAACATTGACTCGAAGTGCCGTACAGCATTTAGACGAAAGAAGAAAGGTTTGCCACTAAACACCAAAGTGAGTTTGTTTCCAATGGTTCCCATTTTGTGGTACAATCTTTTTAGGCTACAAGCTTTTTTAATAAATGCAACTGATTATTTGTAGTAGTTCACAAGCCACGAATGACAGCTTAACTGTTTTAGTCAGCATACCTTCATTGTAAATGTTTGGTAGGCTAGGGACCTTTCAGTCATGCACATGCACTTGAAGCACCGCTGACTGGTTAAAATGAGAGTACTTTGCAGTTGGTTTGCACGCCTTTTAATGTTTTGGGTTTGGTTGGGGTCGGGGACGCTTTTGCTGCAGCATGTGACCTTCAGTTCTGCACATGCAGCTGAAGTGCTACTTATAAGTTAAAGACATGGGTTCTCAAATTGGCTTCTCGAGAACCCGCTAGAGTTCCCCAAGCCCCCGAATTCACTCATTCATTCTTATCCGAATAGGTCTGAGCCATGCATTGATGCACAGTTATGAGCCAAACTCACCTTAGTGTGTGCATGATTGTCAACAAAGCCTCTAGGTCACTGTGCTGCTTGAATATAAGAATGCCGACAGGGGCAGGGGTTCCTCGTCTGCCATTTGACATAGATAGATGTACCTCGAGACAGCAGCGCGTCAGAAGATCCCCAGTTGGTCGAGATTAATCCTCAGTTCTTCGCTGGGGCAAGCCGGATGCCCTCCGTTAATTTGGCACGTTGATCCTCCAAATTCGAATATATGCACTTCAAAATCAAGACGCTTGAGAACTCCCAAGTTAAATTGGTAGAGCGTCTTTAAGTTGGTGTACCTCTATTGTAGACATTTTTTATTCACCGGAAACTTCTGCCTCCAGAAGTTCGGATCTTGTTTGGTCAGCGCTGTGTCCTGTTGTTTCTTCTACTTCGTCCTTGTCTTTGCGCTGTTTTGTTTTTATCATGTCTACTTACCAACTAGCCCAAACTTCTACGTTAATCAACTAAATTTTTTATTTCTTTGGCTGCATGTTACTTGTGTTTGTTACCTGATCTATGATGTTTTCTAGTCAAATATTTGGGAGTTTTGACTCTGTGTAATGTGTGGCTTGTGTGATAGTGGCAGTATCCTCGATGTTAGTAAATGTTGGTGGTAACTACACTTCTTGCCTTTTTTAGGGTGTATGTAACACCTCTGTTAAAATCTGAGTTTAGTTGCATATATAGACACTTTGCTCTATCGACTATTGGGCACGAGCCTTATTTTTGTGATGGTTTGCCGCACTTTAATTTATGTTTATCTATACTTATGGTATATGCTTGCACTTTATATAACTAAGTATCACATTTTCTTTTAGTCGATTGCAGTTGCATTTTGCTTCAATTTCAGTCTCAAATCATGAATTCAAAATAGCCATAAGAGGCAGGCCAACAGAGCAGCTAAGATTTTGAAAATTTGTGTTGGATAAGGTGATATCAAAGTTATCTAGGTAAAGTGATGGGCACTGCATTGTTTGCTTGACCACCTGATTGCTGGTTTGGCATTTTAGATAGACTATTTAAGACATCATATGATGCACTTTTAATACTTTTTCTTGCAAAGTGGTGGTTTTTATGTGCCAGGCTTATTTGAATGTGCCAAGCATGTGCAATGAGAGTGTCCTGTGCTACTCTGAAATACTTCACTCTTTTTACCTGCTACAACAGTCACTCTAGGAATCTGATCTATGTTCCCAGCACCACTATACTTCATTCACCCCCAAGCTAAGACTGCAATGGGAGCTACGTGCTTGCCGGACCAATCAGCAGCCTCCCTCTTATCACCTAACCCTGCTCTCCGCATTTTGGTATGGCTGACAGCATGATGACGTGGCGAAAGAGAGGCGTATGACTTGCCCAACGAGGACGTAGCTTCCACCGCAGTTTCAGCTTAAAGGAGTCATGAAACGCTTTTCCAACTTTTTCCTGTTTAGCTTTCCTCCTCAACTCATAAATCGCGCATTGCACCAAACAGTTCAAGAAGTCGGAAAGGGGGGAGTCCCCTCTTGCTCGGAACCTCGCTTGTGTAGCCGGACACAGCCATTGTCCCCCTAGAAGATTAGCCCGTCGCTCAAAATTCTGACTAGTTGCTTTCCCCACCCCGTTCACCCCGAAGCTGACAGTGCTGTGGAAGCTACGTGCTCGTTGGGCCAGCCACACACTTGCCACGTGATCACGCTCTCTCGCGCATACCGACCCGCAGAGAATGAGGTCAGGTGATGAAAGGGAGGCGGCTGATTGGTCCGGCAAGCGCGTAGGTTCCACCGCAATGTCAGCTTAGGGGTAAAGGGATTAAGTGAGGTCCGGTGTCGTGTGACGTGCGCTTGGGCCTGGCGACGCGCTGCGGGGGCCCGGTTATGGTGGCTAGTAACCCGGTGACGCGCTGCGGGGTCCACGGATGTATCACAGTGAAAAGGCGGAGAGTTTACGAAGGGAAGGAGGTACGAAATAGTCCGCTATGTTTTGCAAATTTTTGTTGCGAAAGTCAGGCTTCTGACTTTCTACCTTTGTTCTTTTGGCCCACTGAACGATGTGCTATTAGTAAAATCCCAATATAAATTGATTTGCTCCAGCCCAAAATTCGTTTCATGGGTCCTTTAAGAGTGAACGGAGTATAGTACCCCTTTTTGTGACCCTCACGCTTACTGCCTCTCTTTACCATAGTAAGATGATGCTGTGAACTTATCCACAGCACTGTCCATCTTCTGTGTGATTTAGAACACATTTGTAGCTTAGTTGTGCAAAAAATAGCATAAGTAATGCACAAATTGTCCATAAATATTTTACATTACCGTAATATCATGAGCAAGCTCCCACCCAAAATTTGGAGATAGTCTCGAAAAACTGGGGGATGGGTGCTTATTTGGTCGGAGAGCAAAAATGCAAAAGGGGCCATTGATGGGGCAGGCTTCACTGCTTGCACCCGTGCACGTGCATCAGGCTTCTTTGCTTTGCACCGGTGAGCTCGGAGAAGCTGCTGATGTGGGGGAGCGTCTCAGCTCGCAGGAGCGTGCTCGGAAAAGCGGCTGATACAGTGGCCATCCATCTCACAAGTTTTGCACAGTGTTATGAAAGGTACAGGGGCGAGAGTGTAATGCAAGCAGTTGCAGAGTGGAAGGAAGAGGAATTTCTCTTTTCCCAAGACTTTTGTATTTCGGAAACAATGCTTTTCTGCATGCCCATCAGCAGTCAGCTTGTCGCTCGAAATTTGTACAAAAGGGGCTTTTTTTTCTCTCTCCCACCCATGGCTTCCACAGCCCTTTGTAGAACTTTTCAGACGGAGTGTGCTCACAAGTCCGGGAAGGGCGCTTGATATGTTCTTTGCTCATTTTTTGAACATTACAGAATTGGTTGGTTGCGACATTGGCGCATACATTGCAACGGGGACACATGCTTGCTATTTTACAATAAGCAATTCTCCTTGCAGTCATTGGTGGGGCCGTTTTTGGCTCTTTCTTCAAAGTTGTCGGACTTGCTGGAAAAGGCGCAGGAATTAAAGACTGACCTTGGAAAGTGCTTTGGGTTGGGTTGGTTTGTGCATCCAAGCCCCCCTTAGCATAGAGCTCATATTCCATGGTACCATTGAGAAGGCAAGAAGGCGCATTTATATTAATTCACTTTTATGAGGTAGATAGCTAGATATATTTATTGAAGTGCCTGTCAACCGCTGAACAACCTGGGCAGCAGTGCACTGTCCTCTAAAACCACAAATATAAACAAGAAATAAAGAACAACAAATTCAAGCAAAAATGTTTTTCTTAATAAAATGGGATTGGGCATTGAGCAGATGGCCTGCACATCAGGATAAAAAGTGTCTTGGCACTTGGAGGTCTGCCTAGATTGTGCACAAAACCTTTTCACTAACAACTCTACACAACCAACAGAAGCATGCACAATTTTTTGCAGGAAATGCTAATTTCTTGCAGTGCTTCTGTCGTGCAGAGACCACAGACGGGTGCCCACCAAGAGAGAATTGTAGTTGTAAAGTGACGGCAGCCAATATATCCATCTTACATAATGGTATAAAGTTATGTGGAACATTTTTAACTAAATTACTGCATGACAAGACGACAAACTTCTATACTATTGACGCAAATTTGAGATGCGATCTCGCAAATGCACAATAGAAGTTTAGAAGACACTTGAAGCAAAGAAATGTTTCATCGGCCGTAAAACTATGCTTGGTCAGTGCAGTCCCTGGCTAACAGTATGAGTAACGTGTGAGTGGAAGTCCAATTCGGACTGAAAAAAAAACACCAAAATCTTGAATGCGAAGTTCTCACCATATTTGTTCACGAAATAGGGCATATTCGAAGACCAAGCTTTTTTTCTTCCTGGTAGAAAATATTTCTACTGATTTACTAAAAACCCCGAGACTGGGACGAGAAGGGACGGATAAACACAAAGTCTAAAATATTTGAGACTTTGTGTTTTTTCGTCCCTTCTCGTCCTAGCCTCGTTTTTTTTTTAGTAAAATGTTTAACCACCACCTGCTCGTTTGCGCCCTAACCTTTGTTCATTATTTCTACCATCTCTTTTGTGTTCAGTTGAAGCCCATTCGTCAAGTACCATTGTTCAACTGAACATATGTGACTTTGTACCTGAACACGGTCGTTCCCATTTTCTACCTCGCGGAGTGGTTTAGACCGTTGGTTAACACAAATATTTCTGAGTTCCTAATGCTGAAGGCTAAAATGTTTATAGTTGATATAAAATTTTACTGACAAACATTGTGACTTAAAATAAAACGTTCCTATGACAGTTGACCTACAGTCATGAGCAGTGTCTACCATATTTACTCGAGGAATAGCCACACTATTTATGAGCAAGGCCCTTGCGTCTGCTTTTCCGCAAAGCACATATACAGCCAATCATCCCGTTGCGCATAAATAACATAGTGAATAACTAGATCAAGAACACGAGTCTCCATAAAAATGCAATCTTCACAGATGGTATCTTCGCGCGGAGACGTTATCTCTGTCCTGTAAACCGCTGAAATTATGCTGTCGATCGCGGTCATTGGCAATCTGCGTGCTCCGTGGAAAAGCGAACCCTCATGTTTTCTTCATAAACAGTGCTGCTATTACTCGAGTAAATGCGGTAGTTATGTGCACAGAAGCCAAATATTAATGTTCTATTTATCAAGCTGTAACGCATCTTCAGTGTTATACACAGAAATGTCGCTACACTCCATTGGGACTAAAGCTGCTCTGAACAACACTTTGTTTCAACCGTGTGCCCTGATTTAATTGCTTATGATGTAGTTTTTCAAATTTGCAGTTGACGTTTTAATGTCTGTAGAGATGCATGCGTGGATTCTAGCAGTGCTCAATTGTGAGTTTAGCACATCGAAAGTGGAAACATTGCTATGAACATTCATATCTGGCAAACAAGTTCATCTGCTCCTCATGCAGAAGGTTACAGTGACGTCATGGCAGCATGCTTCGATTGGAGGATGCGGTAGGTAAACAAATGCGGCAACTTCTAGTCGTAGCAATGGCTACCTTGCCTTTTCTGCGGCTGTTGGAAATCCGCCCTTTTTTAATGAATGAGGATTCTGCCTGCGAGAAAGGGGGTGAGGAAATGACTTGGAAGGGTACATTTTTTCGTGTGACGGGAAGAAATTTACTCTTCGAGCTCGTGTACAAGCCGTTGAGTCAAAACGTTGGGTAGGCTGTTTACCAACTGCGGTGCTGGGGTGAATGGAGCCTGGCTGTACATGTAATCAATCTCTCTTAACTTCCTCATGCCTCCCTTTCATGTGCAGAGAGTGGCATTTTGATCGACCTGCTTGCTGTGTTCACGTAGGCTAACATTGCCATGATAGTGTTCATTGTGGGACATGTGCTATGTCGGTGCTCAGCGTGCCTTACCTACTTCAGGAGGTGTCCAAGTTAGGGGGGGTGTCTGGCTTGACAGGTTTCAGTGTTATGCATGATGGTTAGTCTAATTGCCATGGAGCTGAACCTTGGACACACTGACACACAAAAAATTATCAGGACTTCAGGTGTTAGCAAAGTTTCTACCCATTGAGTTTTGCGCTTCCTTACAAGTGAGGACAAAAGGGAATGCAGAGGTGCATTGTGAGGGTTGTTCTAGCGACATTTTGCCAGGGACAGATTTATGGGTCAGGCTTGGGCGGGGTCTGCTGAGATACCACGTTACGGCCGAAATGTTGCCCAGATCTATTTTGTTGACCCGATATTTGCTATGTCACTGAAAACTCGCCTTTTGGCTGGTGAATATAAATTTTTTCATTAAAAAAGTTGACTTTCGGGGGCTTAGGGGGGGGGAGGGGGAGGGGGCAACCTCTTTCCCCCCCCCCCCCCCCCTTTTTTTTAAAAATCTGCTCGGCATTTTGCTGAGAGCAGTGGCTTCTGAGGGGGGTATATGATGACTACCGTGATAAAATTTGTTTCCTAACCTTAATCTGGAGGCCAGTCTACATGGCCTTGAATGATACTAGGTCAGATTTGTTTGTGGTATGAAGTCGAAATATTGAGGGAGTTAAGCATGTCGTGTAGTTGGTTGCATGGTGCGTGAAGCAAATTTAGTCACAGAGGTTCAAGTTACATGCGATCTAAGCCAAAAGGTCGAGAAGATGTAGATTACCACCGGAACTGTGTAGATAGTTCTGGAAAGATTTCATGTTTGTGTCTGTTTTTGTTTGAATCTCCATTTGGCAGTTTCGAATTCCAGCTAAGGTTGGGCTGCGTAACTGAAGTTTTGTTTGCACTTTATACAACCCCAGGTGATCTAAATTAGTCTTCAGCCCTTCACTGGGTTGTGCAAGATAGCCTTTGTTAGTTTGGCCATAAGCTCCAAAATTCTTTTCCAGAATTGCATGAAACTGTTTTTGTTTGTAACAGCCCACAACTTTTTTTTGTTCTGCCCAGGTGATGACCTCATCATTGGAGGTATCCTCCAGCACAGCACAAACATCTAGTGTTCCGCCGAGTGATGTCTCGGATGATAGCATTAACAGCATTGAACTGGTTCCTCAGGCTTCAGAGTTCTGCACATTTTCACTGCAAACAATCGAAGATGGAACCAGCGAAGATGCTGAGCTGGCAGCGACAGTCCCAGAGGGACAGGTATGTTCCTCTACCTCAGGAGAAGAGTTTGCAGTGTGGGAGTGGAAGGCTTGCACCTCTTGCATGATATTACAGCTCTTTGGTTTATTTATTTATTTATTTGAAATACTATCAGTCCTACACAAAACCAAGATACGAGCGGATTTGCACATCACAGAAATACATGCTCAAAATGCACAGATCAATAACATGTATACAACACAACGATGAAATGACAACTTTAGGTACTGCTGGCAAAAATCTGAAACAAGGAAACTAAATTCTTCCAGAGTTATAGCGGTCACGACATGTGCTGGGCGCTCGTTCCATTCTCGCGCTGTTTGCAAAAAGAATGAGTACTTAAAGGGGTGCGGAAACAAAATTTTAGCGCCGATCTTTCTGCATAAATATGGGCTAGGGACAGGCACCACCTCGGAAATGTCAATATCGCGCTGTAAAACACAGGAGAACTAATTTTAAACTTAATTAAACGATTTCAAATTCGCATCTGGTGGATGGTGGGAAGTTCTCGTGACATCACTTGTGGCATAGGAGCAGCGCCGTTCTGCGGCAATACGGCGTGCCGGCAGAATTAGCCTAGGCCTGAACGCTTTGGCAAAGCCTTGGCGGAGAAAGCCAAAGCGTAGTTGGCCACAGTGAGCTCGTTCTCGTTGCGGCTCTATGCACGACACGACCCGAGCGTGCTTCTGGCACGGCCTGTATTAGTTGCTGCAAGTTGCGAGCCGACGTTAAAAAAGATGTTTGAACTACGAGAGTGTCAGCAAGAGCCACGCAAATACCTGTTCACACTCGGAGCGGACACGCGCGTTTGATCGAAGTGTTGGATTCGCTCTGTTAGACCGCGTTTCGGTAAGCGCTTCTGGACCAATCTTTTACGATTGCAACTTGATACTGACATGACACTCGGCAAAGAAAGGTTGGACCGACAATCGCATAGCTCCCACGAACTGCTATAGCTCGACAGTGACCTAGCGTCGTGTCAGAATAAAAATGGCATACTAATAACAAAGTATACATACCGTGTTGCAAAGGTAATCCGTATGGCGTTTATTTGAGCTCTATCACACAAAACAAGGAGATAGAATCAATGAGAGTCTCTTTTCGACGACAGCGTTCGTCACCGCTGTCTCGGAAAACAAGGAGATGGAGATGACAAGGGGAAAAGATTGACCTCTGAAACTTAGTTCAGGGATCAAACTATTCATTCGGGAAGGGTCCACAAGGGTCACGCGGGCATATTTCATTCAGCAGGCCAGCCGGTCTTGGCCAAGGACCGCCGGAGGAACGGTGCGCCGAGTCAGTGTTGCTGCTAGGCCTACTATATTCTGCCGAGCTCGCTTGGTCGGTAGAATCCTGGCTGTTGTAGCTCTTCTCGGGTGTTTGTGGATCCTGCGTTCTTGATCGTCGTTGCCTGTTTCAAGTGCTCCTTCCTTTTTTCTTGCTGGTTGAAGTCGGGACGCACGAGAAGAGCACGTAGAAAAATAAATGTCCTTTGGTCGTCGCTACCAAGTAACTGAACGACGCTATCGGCCATGTCGATTTGATCGTAAAAGCTGCGGAGCTGTCGTAGGATTCTGTCGTAACCTGCGCAAAAGTTACGACAATTTCGTTTCGAGAATACGGGTTTTCTCTCAAATTTGTCGCACGCACTTTTTCTACGTAAGTTCGCTTTGAGAATCCGACCTCAGAGCTGGTTTTCTCAGTGGTGCCGTGGTTGCCGACTTGCCGTGGTGCAGCGTGCGTGCAGCCCTTGCACATCCCAAACGGCCACGTTGTCACAGGTCGTAAATCGTCGACGCGCCACCAAGTGGCAACGCTCGTAACCACAACATCCACGCCGTAGCCTTTCCCGGCTGGCACAAGTGACGTCACGAATGCGCCCAATATCCCAAGACGCATCGCGCTCTCCGATGGCTGATTTTAGAGCGCGCTCCCAATCGGGCTCCTCAGGGTGAAAAGTATAGCCATCCGTTCAAAATACAAACGCCCGATTATGATTTACGGATATCATTGATCATATTAAACCTATTTCTGACCATAATAGGTGTATTTCAAGTTTCGCTTCAGTATCCCTTTAAGACAGTCCTTGGAAAACTTCCGTTCTGTCACATACCAAGTATGCTTGTTGCGGGTTATACGCGACATGCTCTCATCGATATACTGTTGCTTATTTACAAGAACCGGGTTATTTATTATGTTATAAAAGAGATTAAGTTGCTTCTGCTTCCTCTGCATTGAAAAATGGGTAGATTTGCCCTATTACAAAAAGGTGACACTGAGTCTAGCCGTCTGTAGCAAGAGAAAACAAAACATAACTCACGCCGTTGTACTTTCTCCAGACTTGAAATGAGATATTTAACATGCCAGTCTCAGACTTTACTTGCATATTCTAGTAGAGGTATTATTAGTGTCTTCTATGCTGTGAGTTTTGTTTCTGAGGAAGCGAGTTTACGAGAGTGCCTGATGTATCCTAGTCGCTTACTAGCTTTTCCGACTGTATTTACTCGCACAATGAACGCACTCGCGTAATGAACGCACCCCCAAGTCGGTTCTCAAAATTTCGACTTTTTTTTCACTCGCGTAATAAACGCACCCCCAACTCGGATGTCAAAATTTTGACCCCCTTCCCCCGCGCGCACGATATGAACGCACTTTTTTTATCCTGGTGCAGCGAGGTCGCGAATGCATGGGCAGCGTGAGCAAACAAAACGCCTTGCAAAAGGCGTTAAAAAAATTCGCAAAGTTCCAACGGAAGCAAGAAAAAAAAAAACAGAGTAGCTTTTTTTTTTTTTTTTTTTTTTTTTTTGTGCACAGCGCAGTTTGGACTTTGGGTTCGTGCGCCGCCGCGCGCAAGGAGGTAAGAAAGAAAGCGCTCTAAGCGAACGAAACAGCTTGCGAAAGGCGGCAAAAGGAAAAAAACAACAACAAACAAACAACGGAACTAAGAGAAAACAAAAACAAAGAGGAGCTTTTTTTTTTCTTTCTTTTTTTTTTTTTTTTGTACAGCGCAGTTTGGCTATGGAGGGTCGCGCGCCGCGCGCAAGGAGGTAAGAAAGAGGAGCGGAGAAGCCCTCTAAGTAGGGATGTCGCGAACCACCCTAGGTTCGATTTCGAAAGGTTTTGATATTTGCGAAGCCAACTGAGGTTCGATTTCGAAAAATTTAGATATTTTCGTACCGACCAAGGTTCGATTTCGAAAAATTCGCAACTTTTGACCACAGCGGTGTTTCGAATACGAAAATTTCGAAGCTTTCACGGTTTCTAAAATTTCGAATTCGAATATTTCGATTATTTTTTTACTTCAGGTTCGATAAATTCGAAGATTTCGAAATTCTTTGTAAAAAAAATTCGAAAACTTCGAACGCTCCGAATTTTTATAGACATGAAGTTCGAACAATTCGAAGATTTCGAATTTATTTTTGCATAAAGTTCGAAAAGTTCAAAGGTTTCGATTCTCTTTTAACGTTATAAAAAAAAAAAAAAAAAAAAAAAAAAAAAAAAAAAAAAAAACTTCGAAGATTTTGAATTTCTTTCTAATCCAAGTTTTCAAAGTTCGAAGTCCGATTTTCAAGTTTTTCCACAGTTTCAGTTTCAAATAACGTTTTCACGACTCACTGGTTTTCACAAAATCAAGTTTAGAAAAGTTAGGGTGTGATATCTAGATTCTGCGAAGTTGGTCAGGCAATTAAATGAGACGACGAGTGTCCTGGACGTGCTAGAATATTTGCCAGTGCAGGATTGGGACCGCCAGCCCTGGGAAGGGGGGGGGGGGGGGGGGGGGGTCTTCAACCTGCATCACGCAGTAGTGATTGCACGAACACACTGTTTTACGAGACTCATCCAGTTCGAAACGGCCAGGGGCGAGCAGGAGGTTGAGGCTCAGAAAAACCTTGAAGCGACCTGGCAAACTAGCTCGCCACCCCTTGCACGCTGGTAGTAATCCGATCCGGTGAAGTTTATAATTGTCCTGGAGGTTTATTTTCTGGGACGGAGGAATCGCCTTGCTAAAAGCACACAAGCTGACACAACTCGAGGTCGAGGAGCGTTCTACCATACAAGTGGCGTCGAAAGAGGAAAAACGGGGGAAAGAGGGTAGCGAAGGGGGAGGGGGGGGGGGGGGGTGCTTCAGCCTCCTTCCCCTTGCAGGTATTTCGGACTGTTAAAGAAAACAATACGGGGAAAGAGGGCGTGGTCGAGCTTATTTTAATCTGAAATTATTTATGCATATGTATAGCTAATGTCGCTCTTCACTGCATAAAAGGTTGCGTAGATGTTCATTGTTAGAAACTCGTTGTCAGAAGACACTGCTCGTCACATGCTTAGTGGTTCGGAAGTTCAAAGCTGTCTTTTCGACCTAAACACCTGTGCCGATAGTAACAAAAAAAAAAAAAAAAGGAATAAATGCGGGAATAAAAAGCAGGAAAAAAAAAAGAAAAAAAAAACTATCAAGAATTTGTCGGAAGTGTTCTATTCTTGCATATTCAGAGGTTCAGAACTTCGGAACAAGTTTCTTTTACCAAAATGTGTACAGGCTAAAAGAAACACGTCCCAGGAACGTGAAGCGAAAAAAAAAAGTTTTCTTTTAAGGACTTGCTGAACTTGAACTCTATTAGAAATCTTCTCCCATGAGTTAATTTATTTCTTAACGTGAAAAAACAATGAATATATTATTTTGTATTCTGCAGATGGCAATGATATGTACTGTCTGTGGTGTTAATTTAAATGCGGTACCTCAAACAACTTAGACGAAAATAAATATCAAGTTTAGGTCATAATTGCATGCAGATACATGTTTGGACATTTCTTCGAAACTCACGTTGAATAACAATAATCACATCTTAAGACGGCACTTACCTAGGCTATACATAGATCATTCTTAAAAAAAAGTATAACTTATCTACCATAAATAGCTCCGGCTGCAGCGTGCTTCAAATCTGGCACAAACGATAATCGTCAAAAACCCGTCGTCCTTCCTCGCCCCTTCGGGGATTTATTTCTTTAAACCTAAGCATGCCAGAACATTGAAATAAACGACATTGTCTTTCGTAAGGAACGCAGCACCGCGTGTAAAAGTTCGAGAAAAAAAAATTACGAATGTACACCACTACTTGAAATCAAATGAAACCGTCCGCCGGTCTTTCGAAGTTCGACGAACGTCGAACTTTTACCCTAAAAGTCCGAAGTTCGTCGAACTTCTGACTTTTCAGAATTCGAAAGTTCGAAACTTTTCGAATTCTCTTGATAAATAAGTTCGAAAGTTCGAAATTCATCGAATTTTTTGGTCAGTCAAGTTCGAAAGTTCGACAAGCATCGAACCTTGCAGCGCAATAAGTTCGAAAGTTAGAAAAAGATCGAATTTTTAGCGTAATAAGTTCGACGGTTCGAAAAGCGTTGAAATTCTTAGCTTAACAAGTTCGAAAATTCGACCTCCGTCGAATTTGACGATATAAAAAATTCGAAAAATCGAAATCTTTCGAACCTTTCGAACCGCTTGATTCGATCATCGAAACTTCGATTCGAAAAAAGTTCGCGGCATCCCTACCTCTAAGCAAACGAAACAGCTTGCAAAAGGAAAAAAAAAAAAAAAGGAGCTTTTTTTTTTTTTTGCACAGCGCAGTTTGGTTTGGGGGGGGGGGGGGGGGGTCGTGCGTCGCGCGCAAGGAGATAAGAAAGGTAAGCGGAGAGCCCTCGCCTAAGCAACGCCTAAGCAAACAAAACAGCTTGCGAAAGGCGACAAGACGGGGTCAGGCGCGGCGCGCAGAGATAAGAAGTTACTCCGATTTTTCACGATAAAAGGTCCGTTCATTATGCGAGTGAATACGGAGGCAAAAGTTTTACTTCGCGTAATGAACGCCCCCCCTAACTTTGCATCGATTTTTCGGAAAAAAAAGTGCGTTCATTCTGCGAGTAAATACGGTATATTGTTAATGTGCACTGTCCAACTTAGTTTTGAAGCTGTGGTACGACCAAGGTACCTAAATTCTGATACTCGGCTTAGTGCTTTTTCGTCCAGCAGTGCAGATATTCTAACGGCAGTCGTTTATGAGTGATCATCATACATACTGTCTTGTCTAGGTTTAATGACATTTGCCACTTAACACACCATTCAATGATCTCGGACAAATATTTGTGTAGCATAATTTGATCATTAACTGAATTTACTTCAGTATATATTACACAATTGTCGGCAAATAATCTGGCCTTTACAGGTGAATCTTCGATAAGGTCATTAACAAATACCAAAAACAGCAGGGGACCCAGAACCGAGCCCTGTGAAACACCCGAGTTCACATCACATTCACCCGAGCTAACCCCTTCAATACTTACAAACTGGTGTGCCCCCCAGCATGAGGTGTGCCCCCAGCATCAGGATGCTGGCTTTTGCAATGCATAATTTGTGTGGATTAGATTGGCACTTATGTTCAGTCTGCTACTTCAGTCTGTCCTGTCAGTGACTTATATTCAAGGTTCCGTGTTTTCGGATAATTCCGAAAAACTGCGAAAAACACCCGCAGGTAAAATTTTGGTCAATTCGGATTTATCCGATAAACTCAGAATTTTGATGTGCTAATGCACCCTCCCCCCCCCCCCCTTCCCCTCTCAAGTAAACTATATTTTACAATTAAGTTTGATCAGCACCCAGGGTCGATGGTCCTGGGAAAAAGCCACCACATTTATCTTTCAAATCTCGTACCATTTACAAAAGGGGTCTTACCGCTTATCTCGTCAAGGTTCAGCACGACATGTCATTGTACGTTTGGGTCACAACAAAAGCCTCAGTATTGGTTTCCAGTTTGGGCCATACTATATTTGTGTTTTAAGATAAAGGAGGGGTTGTCTTTTTGTAACGTTTGAAGCTATGGACTACAGAGATTGCCTAAAATTGGAAGAGGGGCAGTTGAAACTTCCCTATTATATCCTTTAGCACTCCACCTCTTTCGGCCGCGGGGTAGCACGGAGTAGGGTGGGATGAATACGTGCTTCCCAGTGACTACCTCCAAGGGCCCTAAACTCGTCGAACCCAAAGTTGGAGCCGAAAGTTCGCGGAGCGCGCCGATTGGACGCTGGCGGCAAAAGCGCAAAGTCATCGTCGTGGTAGTCCAATCGGCACGCTCCGTCAACTTCGGCCCCAACTTTGTGCTTGACAAGTTTAGAGCCCCAGGAGTTAATTTTTAAAGTATCGACATTTATCGAAGTCACAGATGTGTGCAACTTTTGCCGTAGGACAAATTAGTATTGCCAATGGCAATGGCACGAACAACAAATCCAGCTGAAGAAATATTGATATAGCACATTTTATTTTTCTTTATCTACCATATGTTTACACCCGGATATTATTTATTTATTTTTCATAAGAAGCACTGCAAAATTAAGCTCCAAATTTCAAAGATTTTGGAATTAAAGAAAAATAAACTCCTATAAGCTCCGAATTTTCGGAAAAAAATAAACTAAAAACCCCCTGAATTTGACGAAAAAATAAACTCCGAAAACACGGAATCCTACTTATAGTGCAGGGATTGTGTATCATAGCATGGCCAGCTGTTGACTTTTGATTTTGTTGCCCAGGTGTTCTGCACTGAACATGGGGATTTCCAGGTAGTCCATGCAACACCTGAGCAATTAGCCCAAATCCAGCAGACTCACCAGCTCCAGATATTGAGTGGTAGCCACATTCTGGCCACATCTGTTGACGGGTCTCCCGAAGATACTGCCACTGTCACAATCATCCCACAAGAAGACTTGATTAACAACTGAGAAGCCCCCATCAGAATAAAATCTTAGTCTCCTGTGTTCTATTGGACGCATTTTTACATGAATAATGGCAAGTAATTACTGCAAGAGCATGGATGATGAGGATGTGAATAGACTATTTGCTGAATTCCCTATGCATTCCTCCCGCACCCGAGGAGTCATGGGAATGGTGTTCCTTCAGTTTCCTTGTGATTGGTGCCCACTGATTCCAAGCTAAATCCTGGTTTTGGTTGTTGTGAATTCTCGGCCTTTTAAGCAATTCCTGCTAAAACAACAATCACGAGAATGATAATATTGTAAGAGATTTCTGCAGCTCAGCCAGGTTGAAGGGTGGATTGCATGTACAGTATAAAAAATGCTGACATTGATGAGAAATTTTAAAAGTGATATGACAGGTTTTTCGACTTTACACAACACTTATTCAGAATGACTCCAGATCACACTAAAGTGTGTAATCATCAAATTGGTCAATATTTCCGATCACTTTGAAACTGAAGGAACACCGTTTCCATAATTCCTGGGGCACTTGGAGGATTTAGCAAGTTGTCTATTGTTCTTAGTTTGAATAAGGTAAGAAATCTTTTGTACACTTTTCACCAAAAAGATTAAACAAAAATGGAAAAAATAATTTCGGGCAGGGCAACAGTTAAACCCATTATTCCTATCACAACTTTATAATTATACTAGGTGTTTTGCAGACTCAAACAATACCAAAAAATAAAATGTCCGATAAAAAAAAAAAACAAAAAAAAAAACGGGAACAAACTACCAGCTACAGGGAGCATCAGGGATTGCAAAAGGACAAAAACACCAGTTACCAAAATAATTAACTCAAATTTACTAATCAGGTTTTTAAGTAGTGAAAATAAATGCGTGGTTCCAATTAGAAACTTGCCGAGCGTCGAAAACCTCAGTCACTCTTATGACGACTTGAAGCGCGGGGTCACACTAAATTTACCACTCTTGCCAGTGTTTTTTTAGGTAATAATAATAATGTTGCCTTTATTATCTTTGAAAAATGCATAATGAAGTGTGCTGACCCACAAAAGCAGAGATGCTTGTATGTGGGACCAGGCAGCCAATGGACAACCGTGACACAATTAAACACCGAAGAAACAAAAAGACAAGTAGTCCACACTACGCGTTAGGTAATTATACAATGCTAATTGTGTGAGCATGAGGCACCACTCTTGCATTCCGTTTTACCACACAGAAGGATGTTAAATTTAGCAAATACTGACAAAAAGTGTTGTATAATGAAGCAACATAGTGACATTTTAATTTTTTTCCATAGTTGGTTTGTATCATAGGAACCTTGAACCGCTCTGTACGTCGTAAGTTTCTTTTTCTCACCTATTGTTTAAAGGTGAAGCTATAATAATTGCTTGTTATTATCACATGTTTATGAAACTGATTAAATCTCAATACAGTCAAACCTCACTATATGGAACACGGATATATAGAATTATTGCTTATATCGAATCGTTGTTGTGTCATAAGAATCGCATGCATTTTAAATTTTTTATAGCGAACTCGATCGGTTAAAAAATTAATATATCGAACTCTGCAGCGCTTCAAAGCATGCGCCCCAGAGACAGGCGGCAGGCTCTCCGGCAACACATCAAGGGATACGGCGGGCTTTTCCGGAACACATCAGAAAATAGCGGTGCGCAGCAGGCGTTTGCGACTTTTAAAAGCGCATGCCTGCGTAAAGCTTTATGCCTATGGTGCCTGGCAGTAACGTTGGTGCCGGGAGCGCCATCCAGACTCTGCGGCATACTGGCTCGGTCAGCGCAGTCGTATCGCTGGTATCGCCAGCATCGCTAGTATCGCTTTATATATATATATATATGTGTGTGTGTGTGCTTTGTTTGTTGCTTAGCTCCCCCACTTTCGTTCTTCCGACGTTGCGTCATCCGCGTGCGGCGTACTGATGGCATCAAACGTAAGAAACGTACGTTGCTGACGTTTTTGACGAAGCTTAAAATCATCCGCCACGTTGAAAAAGGTGAAAAGTCCAGTGTTGCCCAAGCGCACAACATACCGCGAATCACTTTGAGCACGCTGCTGAAGACGAAAAGCGACATCAAATCGAAGGCTGAACAAAGCAAGTACTCCGACGCACGCCGTGTTCGGGCACCGGCCTTCGCAACGTGGAAAGATCTAGCTTTTTAGCGATGAGCACGCTAGCTTTTTAGCGATTAAATTGCGCTGCACTTTCACGCGTTTTTGGTGTGATTTTGTATATCGAAATTGGGTTATATCGAATTATTTCACGGTCCTCGCACTGTTCGATATAACGAGGTTCGACTGAATTTGAAGCTCATGCACATTTTCTTTGGTACCCAAGTTTTCGTATACTGATACGTACGAAATATTGTTTACAGTGTGTTTTATGATTCTACCAACTCCCTGTTTTTTGTACTTCGAACAATTACCATATATGACCGATTCTCCTAAATATCTAAAAATAGTTCTCCGCAAGTTCACAGAACAGGCACTTTTTAGCTTGTAAAGATACGCGGATACCACCCGCATTTTTTAAAATATACATTCTATTTGTTGATTCCAGAGGACATGTTGGTTAAATATTAAACCTAAATATTTAACTGTCGAGTCATATGGTAATGGTCTAGACGTACAAATTTGTTGAGCGTGATTATGAAGGTGAATATATATGTTTGGTACTACTGTAACTTGTTTATGGGGATTATGAAAGCAAACTTAGTTTTATTGACATTACAAGAAATGAGATTACTTTCAAACCATTTAACTAATGAATCTTTATCGCTCTGAAGCAGCGAAACCGATTTGGCTGTAGTTATCGACTTATCGTGCGGTAGCAAAAGAATGGTATCGTCCGCGTACTGAAACATTCTAGATCGCAACTTTAATAATCCTAGATCGCTACATAAATATTAAACAGTAACGGACCTAATGTGCTACTCTGCGGTACGCCGCAATCGACTCTGAGTTTTCTACTGGTACTGCTTCCGATTTGGACCGCCTGGAACCTGTTCGTGAACAAGTCTGTGAAGGATTTGTTGAAGGGTCCCCTGAAACCATGCTGATTAGGTTTTGATAGGAGAAGTGCGTGATCAATTGTATCAAATGCCTTTGACAAATCCAAAAACAAGGCAAGGGCAACTTTATTATTTTCAAGATTTTCATTTTCAGAGTCTGATAAATTTTTATGTAGTGAAATAGTGCCTCTTTGTTACTTGAAACCATACTGCCCATCGTTTAATAAAGAAAATCTTTCACAGGAACTATTCATACACTTTTGAACCCATTTTTCAAGAATGCGAGCAATTGTAGGCAATATTGGTATTCGTCTATAGTTCCCTAATTCTGTCTTACTACCAACGTAATTTTGTACACCATTCTGCTGCGAGCTGTTTGGCGTGTGCCGAAGACAAGCATTCGAAGGATTTACATGACCCCTCAGATGCATAAAGTACAGACGCTTATAAGTCTTACCACGCTGACATCTCCTCAACAGGCTGCAATAAAATCCTTCAAATTAGTAAATTTGTTTGAAAAAACAAAACAAAATTGCAGATTGACTTCATGTGAAAACACCCTATAACGGCTTCACTATTGACAATTTTAAACCTTCCTGTATTTTTCCTGTTATCAAACATCCATTATCACGAGGGGGACCATATTTAGCTTTGAAAAATTGTAGCGTAGATCCCTAATACGATTCTGGTCCGTTCCAGGTACTTTTGTTATTGACATGGAAGTAATAAAAAAATTCACAGGGCCTCTTATGTTATGCCTAAGACGACTTGAAGGCGAAAGCCCGAGCGCCGATCCCGGTGATTGCGAACCTTCGAAGACAGCGCTTTCTCTGACGACGCGCTTTTGGTGAATAGGGAGTTTCAGTAGACCGTTTCCGCAGCCCGCTAAGCACCCGCATAGCGCTCCGTCATCCGCCACAAGACCCTGAATTATGCAGACAAGGCTGGCGACGCGCATGCGCTGCTGCGGCGTTTTCTTTACGGATACGGTAGCGGAGGGGAAAAACGATCTACTACAACTCCCTAATCTCACGGCATGTCGCACGCCCGCTCTTCACCTTTGCCCGAGCACTATGGATGCACGTATCGGCACTGTGTGAGATCTGCAAGGTGCCCATATTCCATATATTGTGTCAAGAGGCGGGAAAGGCACAGGGAAGAGCGCACTGACCCGGGCAGTGCCTTCTTGCGCTCGGTGAAATTGAGCTCTTTAAAGTATTGGTTGCATGCTTGGTCATTCTGCAAAATGGCAGTGGCTTTATGGGGTGTTTGGTGCCTAGGGCAAGATGACCCTTAATATTTCAGTGCCTGAGGTGGGTGGTGCTCTTAGTTCAGGTGATGTCTAGGACATGATTTTGTATGGAAACAGATTACGTCTCACCATTGCCTCTTTGTGACGCCGCGCACACTTCCTTTCAGCGCCACCCGGAAACAGTCTCCGCTGAATTTTCTGGGTCACCAAGAGAGGGGAAGTACGCTCTCCCGCACTTTCCATTCCTCGTTCCGCACAGCCTTTCTACACAACCTGTTTCTGCTCCTCTCTTGCCCTTTCCACCTTTCTCCGCTCTGCACGCATTCTCATACCACCTGCTTCTGCTCCTCTCATTCCTGCGTGCTGGGTTCGTAGCTCAATCAACAGCGCACTCGGCTTCCACGCAAGTGGCCGGGGTTCGATCCTTGGCGCAGATTACCATTTCTTTTTTCAAGGTCTTTTAGCAGTTACGGACTGACCGACCTACATATTTTGTGCTTACGGGGCTCCTGAGGTTGGTTTTTTAAAGCTACCGCCTTAACAAAAGGGGATCACAAAATATTGTGTTTAAAAGTACTCACACTTACTTCGAAAGTAAATTGTATTTATAGTACTTTACTTGAAGTACATTACGCCCGGTGTACTTATTACTTTGCTTGAAGTACATAACCTCTCATTTATTGTGTGCTTTATTTCAAGTACATTACGCCCACTGTACTTATTACTTTGCTTGAAGTACATAACCTGATTTACTTTGTACTCCAAAT